TAAACAAGTTTTCTAAACAGAAAATGAAAACTGAAATATTAGAAAATAGAAAACAGAGAACAGTTTTCTAGTAAACGGACTCCTAGTATCTTCAGGGGTGGATTCAGAAATCTTCTTCAGTGGGGGTAAAAAAAATAAAAAATGAAACACTTAGAAGCCGAGTCATAAGTATTGTTGACTAGGAACAAAAAAAATAAAAATTCATTAAAACGCAATAAAAAATATTCAAAACAAAAACATAGTTCAAATAAAAATTACATTATAAATCACGCATCTCACTCACTATTAATATTTAAAAGAAAGCCCCAATGTTATATATAAAGAATCCAATTAGAATTAAAAATTAATCTCATAAATCACAATTATAATCTAACTATTAATATTTAAAAAGGCCAAAAAATAGAATTTATAAAATCAATGTACTAAGTTTCAAACCTATGACAATTCACAAACCTAGACACGTTTAATCTGTATATATAAGGGGCCTATACATACAATATATATAAATGAGATGGTGATGGGGATGGGGGAGGGGGACAGGTGCCCCCACTGTCCCCATTGTGGCTCCGCCCTTGAGTATTTTGATTTTAACTAATGTGGAGGCTGGTTTTTTGTTGAATTTTTCTCTGCAAGTGAAGGGTTTTTGTTAGAGAAAAAAAAAAACAGACGCTTGAGCGCATAGTTGCCCCAACAGGCAGTGTGTCTGCTTCAGAGTGGTCACTCTGAAATGAAGTTTCTTCTATTTTTTTAAGCTAGTCGTTGCAACGAAAATGCTTTTTTTTTTTTTTTTTTTAAGCTGGCCATTGCAATGGCCAGTTTCTTTTTATTTTTAAAAAGTTTTTCTTGTTTAGTTTTGTTGTTAAATTTTTAAAATTTGAACAAAAATTTATGCAATATAAATGTAGTATATAATTTTGATACTATATTATTAGAATTAAAATTTTAAAATTATAAATTTATTTTAATTTTGACATGTTTAATTTAAATAATAAAAAATAATAATTGTAATTATAATTTTTATAATGATAATAAATAAAGAAATAATTAAAATACAGTGGAATAAAATGGTGATTCCATAAAAAACTGAGAAAAAAATCTAAAATTAATGGGGAGAAGGGTTTTTGTGATTGAGTGAGATAGTGAGTACTGATGAGGTTGATGTTGGGGCCCATAAAAAAACTGGGGAAGAAAACTCCAATTGATGAGGATGCTCTTACAAACACACAACACGAGATAAAAAATGGTGATCAATGAATTGAGGATGAAATTATATAATCAAAATAAATCTGTGAGCTTAATTCTTGTCAACACTTTATCGGTTGAGATTGTACGTCACATTGAGTATTTCTAATGCACTTTATATCTTCTGTGTGATTTGTAGAATATTAAAAAAAGTGAAATTTTCTTATTGAACACCATTGGATAGTTGTTGCGAGTTTCCTTTGTCACCCAAAAAATAATAATAAATGTAAAAGTACATGAACTTAGAGCATCACCACCGGCCAGCGCACCATAGGGGTTATTTGGGAGATAATGTCAGCAAAAGTACGAGAGAGAGTGTAGGAGAGAGAGTGGGAGGGTTCTTCTACAAGGACCTGGATCTTGGAACAATATATAACTATGTGCTCTGTTGAAGAAAAAAAGGAAAAAAGGAAACGATGTGCGTGTTTCGCGCAAAGCTTGGCCAAAGCTAGTGCACGCGCCAGATAGTGTAGTTTAAATATATATATATTTTTTTTAAATCAGTTTTTTTTTTTTTCATTTTTCTCTCCCTTCCCACGTTCTGTTTCCTAATCACACTTACAAAAACTGCAACAGAGATCAACTACTAAGGATGCTCTTATGACTATTATGGGGAAAATAGAATAAAGAGAAAAAAAATATATATAATGCAAATAGTTAATGCATTATGTATCTAAGAAACTAATTAAAATTGGACAAAATTTAGTGAGAAAAGAATAATTATAATATACAAATTATTTTTAGTGGCATTAACAACTCAAGTGAATTAGAAAAAAGAATAAGAACAAAATTAGATGTATTAATTAATACTACATCTAATTATACCACCGCATTTTTTATTCTTATTAAAACTCTATTATGATTGAGTTGTATATAATTTTATAAGAAAATTGACCTTATCATTATTATTTATGTTTTTTATGCGATATGAACCACTGACCATTTGGAAATTTGGTTAATGCCTGTGGCGTTAAGTAATGTATATGCACGCTACACTGTTTGCATGTTACTTGTTTTACTTACCGTGCAACTATGCAAGTATAAATTTTAAATTATTTTAGTTTAAAAAATTCAAAATTTTAGCCTCCCATAATTTACATTTTCTTTTTTTCTTTGTTCTAGATAGAATCACAAAATGGTGAAAAACCCTTCTTTATAAGTTTTAAGGTAATTTTATTTTAAGGTAATTTTATTTTCAGGCTTGAACTCAAGAACCATGGTTAAGTTGAAAGAGATCAACGCCATCATTCACATCCCATGTGTATGGTAATTTAGATTTGATAATGTTAGGATCGAAACGGGTTCACAACACCAAATTTACAATAGCAACTTGAACTGGAAATATTGAGAATAAATTCTAGTGTAAGATTTAAAATAAATCATACACGGAACAATGCAATTTGAAGAAGAATTTTCTGTATTGTCAAAAAGGATAATACAATAAGAATTACAAATATAACTCTCTATTTTTTCTCTACCGAATTTTGCTATACTCTTTGCATATTTTGAATGAGATGGGATGGGATGATCTAATGAATGAAGGATGTTGCCTTATTTATAGCAATCCATGAGTCTAGAATTTTCCAAGCTAGAACCCATGTGCCTAGAGATAATGCTATTTCTTTCCCTGCAAGTTTTCTCCGAAACATATGCCCAGAACGAGCCCTTTAGGAAAACCTCCTCCCAAGTTCATAGGAAAACCTCCTCTCAAAATCATCCTAGGCAAAACTTCTACACATTCCACATTCTGACTTTAATATTTATAGATAAACCCAATCATATTTACCTTAACAATAAAAATAATAATAATAAGGGAAAATGACACTTTTTCCCCCTGAGTTATATACTTATAGTCATTTTTCCCCCTCAATTATTTAGGTAAGCACATTAGCTCCCTCAATTATTCTAAAAGTGGTGGTTTTTTCCCCTGATATATTAAATTGACATTTCTACCCTTAAAGTGAAAATTTTATTTATTTTACTTCTCCAATAAATTATCGCGTATACGTAGGGATGACCACGGTGCAGATCAAACTGAACCGGACACTATAGCAATTGAATAAAAAGTTTGCGGTTATGATTCAGATCTAGAACCTAATATTTGGATTTCAATTTATTAAAATTATGAATTAAAAAAATTGGATCTTGAACCATGAATCGGCCGTTCTGGATCCGGTTCACGATTTTGAACCGTCTTTATTTTAAAATTTTATTTTTTATTTTAAATAGTCTAAATTCAACAATAAATGTATTTTATTTTTTTAGTTCAGAACATGAATCGTCCGTTCCGGTTCGCGATTTTAATAAACTCTAAATATCGAGTTTCGATTCTAAATTGCAATTGGAATATTTCAGTTTGGTTGCTATAGTGTTTGTTTGGTTTGAACCAAATTATTGTCATAATTTGTTGGAGAAGGAAAATAAATGAAATATTTATTTTAAGGCTAAATATGTCCATTTAACATTTCAGGGGGAAAAACAGCCACTTGAATAATTCAGGGGGAGAAAGTGCTATAAGTATATAACTTAGGGGGAAGAAGTGCCATTTTCCCTAATAATAATAATAATAGAGTTAATACTCAAAATCGTCATCGACTATAGTGGTTTTTCTCAATTTTGTCCTAAACGACTTTGGTGACCTAATATCGTCCCAGACTTTTGTGTTTCGCTCAATTTAGTCCTCCATTTGTTATTCCGTCAAATTGGTGTTAAATAAAGGGACAATTCAGTAATGTCAATATTGATCTCTCTTTACTTTCAACTTGTAAAGTGCGAAATTCCTCTTTCTTGTACGAATTACACCCAGAATTACTCCCGGACCTGCAAATCAAATTTTATATTTGCAGTTTTAGGAGTAATTCTGGGAGTAATTCGTAAAAAAAAAAAAAGATTTCGCAGTTCACATGTCTATGAGTAAAGAGATGTTAATATTAAAATTACTGAATTGTCTATTTATTTAACACCAAATGGACAGAATAACAAATGAGGGACTAAATTGAGCAAAAACACAAAAGTCTGAGACTAAATTGAGCGAAACACAACAGTCTGGGACGATATTAGGTCACCAAAGTCGTTTAGGACAAAATTGAGAAAAACCACTATAATCGAGAATGATTTTAGGTATTAACTCAATAATAATAATAATAATAATAATAATAATAATAATAATAATAATAAGCAATACAAATTGATAGATAAGTATGGTATAGAATTCAATGTAATCCAACTACTATTTTCGAAATTGTAATTATATTAGAAGTTAGAACGATAAATAAAGAAATCGCCTAAAATTATGGACTTGAAAAATATGTGATGCATTAAAAATGGAAAATTGTGGTGTCTCCTGATAATCTATTGTTAATTATTCATTTTAATTGGTGAAATCGAGTCTTTTTTTTTTTTTTTTTTATAACGATAAAAACTTGCTATTTTTATGCAACGATGTGCATTTACATACAAATACAAAATACTTGATTGACAAAAAATGTTCCTAGAAATTTTATGAGAGAATTATGCATCATATTATTGATAGGTAATTGAATATGAACCGTTATAATTTTGTTAATGAGCAGTATTTAATTAAAATTTTATTTTGTCTCTAATATATGTCCAAATGATATATAAATAAAGGTAGCTATAAACAGTGCAAAAAATTCCAACTTTTTCACAGGCGGGTCCCACGCCTTCTGTCCTTCCCTGTGTTCATACACATAAACTTCGCTTTCAAGCCCCCAGAAAGAAAGAAGAAATTAATCCCATTCCCCTTCTCAGTTCTCCGCCCCGCCCCGCCTCACTCTTCGGGAGACCTCTCCTTTCACCTCTGATCTCTCCTTTATACGTAACGCTTAAACACTGTGTACTTTGCTTTTTTCTTCTTTCTCCCTCTTTCTACTTTTCTCACTTCTACTTCACCCCCTCTCTCTCTCTCTAGAAAGTTTCATTTTCCTTTTTCTTCTCTTCTTCTTTCTGGGACGATTGAGGTTCAAGAATAATCAAGGTTGTGTTTTGAGGAATGGGTTTGTGTGTTTCGGTGCACAAAGATGCGGAGACGCCCATGAAGCTCCGTGTTGTGGTTGGGTCCAAGAATAGCATGGCCGTGAATCCGTCGCCGGTCAAACATGAACGGAGTACTGTTAATGGAGTTGACTGTAAGCTCGCTGACCATCACCCACCTATATCGCATCCTTCGCCTTCTCGCCTTGCAACTGCTTCTCTTGACTTTGGTATCTATCGTTCTTTGATCCTGCTTCCCTGAAGTCTCTGTGTGTTTTTGAATTAAGAAATGCTAAAGTTTTTTTTTTTTTTTTTCAAAAGATAAGATATTGTTTCCTCAAAAAGTTGTGATCTTTCCGACCATGCTAACATATGAAGTCTGTGTTTTTTTACTCAAAAGTTGTGTCTTGAAATGGTAATCATGGTGGCCTGGAACGTAGCTTTCAATTGCCTGATAAAGGGTGTTCTTACTTTATAAAAGTTTTCCAACCAAAAAAAATTTGCTCTGAAAGAGTTTGTGAAGTCCAGAATAGGAGTGGATATATATCTTTTATTTGTGTGTCATCTGAAGCACATGATGTTGTGGGCATGAAAGAATTTAATGTTCCTCAGATTACTGCAATCTTGGCATGTCTATTTAAAGAAATGGGTCCAATAGATAATGCAAAACATCCAGATGGAGTGAGTAGCAACAGGGTGGTATTAATTTAAGGAATCTGCAGTGGCAGGAATAATTTATGTTGTCTTGTGATGCTAATTGTGCTGTTCCATTTTCAACTTTCTTCTTGTATGCTTTCATATGGTAGCCATTTTCCAGTGGTGCTCACAATCTTCCACAACCACTGCCATTCTTGGTGTGGAGAAGTAATTTTTGTCTAAAATTATTATTCACCTGCACTGTGCCTTAACCCCAAGAGTTGTTTGTGCTGATGATTACTGTCTATGTGTCAATGATCCTCAGCTGTCAAACTGTGTATCTACCATTGTGCTATTGCTAAATGATAATTGCAAATTTGGAATTGGTGGTTGAGTGATGAAATAGAATGTCTGGCACCCTTTTCGTGCAAGCTCTGTATTATACTCATCAATGCCCTTTTGGTCCCCAACATTGATATATATTGCTGTTGCAGGTTCTTGTTTCCTTTACCATCTATGGAGAAATTAAAGTGCTTAGCTTTTTGATGTGATGCTTAAGTTAACAGTGAGCATATGTTTAGGCTTTCATGGTATGAATATATGCTCGTGATCTAGTCAGGCTGTCAGAGTATAACAATTTTGGTCTCATTATTGAAAATTCCATATAAAGAAAGCACTCATTTATTACAACAAGAAATCTATAATGGCACCTGTTTTCAGTCTCTTTATCTAAGATAAGATAGATCACGGATGGCCTTATATCTCAAAGTATGTGGGGTTAATGGTATAGTTTGGATTCTACTGAATCCCGTAAATGTGAACAACTCCAGGATAGCTAGCTAGCTAGCTCAAATTGAATGGAATTAAAGAATTGTTTTCAGAATATTTTGACTTGCATAAGCATGTGGATGGACTTGTATATTGTTTGTGTTGGATATTGCCTCAGCATTTTTATTTTATACATTTTCTGGATATTCCTTATAGGTAGCAAGGAGGAGACATTCTTTGATTCCCAGATTTACTTGGAGTCCGATTGTGAGGATGACTTCTATAGCGTTAAAGGAGGTGAGTTTCATTTCATACATTTTAGTTTAAACCTCCTCCTAATCTATATATGCATACAACCAAGAATAGAATTTTTATCTTTGAAGAAACATCATTTGTTATCCTGGGACAAGTAGATCGAGCAACTGTTCTGAATTAAACTGCAAATGCAGATTTTACTCCATCTCGAGGGAATACGCCTGTCCATCAGACCATATCTGCGGGTGCTCTTAAAGTTAATGGAAGCCCTTTTGTGGAGAGGGCTGCAGCAGCCACTTCTGTACCTCAAACTCAAATATCCCCGACAGAAAAGAAGAAGAGACTCGCTGAACTTTTCAAAGAAAGTTTAGGCGGCGATCAGGAGTTTAATGCTTTGGGTGCTGCCAAATCCACACTTGGAACGCCTTATTCCTCTGCCTGCAGCAACACGAGTCCCAGTCAAGAGCTCAAACATGCCCCGAAATCAGCAAAGACAGGACAATGTTGCCTCCCGAAGTTGCTCTCCAGGCGCAGCTTTAACGAGAGAAACAAAGTAACTAGTCCTGCTCACAGCGCAGGGTAAAGAAACCCTCTTCCATGTTACTTGAGATACAGAACGCCCTCCTTGGTCTTAACTTGACATCCATGAGACCTGAGAGTTCTGTAAATATATATATGTGTAAATGAATAAACAAATGTAAAATCGTATGAATGATATCTGCTTATTAATATGCAGCAGTACAGATGAAAATTTTGGTTTGAATTCTATTTATGGAACTGTGTTTTAGGATTTGATGGTGTGGATGTTTTTAGTTCTGAGATGAAATAAAAAACAATTGGATCACTTCTTATGTATTGTGTTTGCAGACAGACAGAAAGATACACATTTTGGTTCTTGCACTATAATATAATATTCTTGTGTTTGCTAAAGCTGTGAATAATTTGTATGCAACATGCCCCTCCATTATTTATGATGCTCTAAAATATTAATTTTTGTATTTTTAGTTTTAACTAATTTTTTTTTAACTCAAGTTGTGATGTGTGAATTTATGAATAATTAATAAACTAAAGCGATAACCCAAGCTAGGGAGTTGGAAAGGCTGATTAGCCCGGATAGTTATGCTGTGCATCCGTATGCACCATGCATGATGCATACAAATGCAAAAACGACGTCGTTTTATTAAAAACACGCGTTCCCCCTTAAAAAAAATTCAGGTTCGATTCCCAGCAACAGCATTATGTTGTTCATTCATTCTGAAATTTTAGTTCATAGATTATGGAATTTTAGTTCATTGATTCTGGAATTATAGTTCATCGATTCTGGAATTGTAGTTCATCGATTCTGAAATTTTAGTTCATAGATTCTGGAATTTTAGTTCATTCATTCTGGAATTTTTAGTTCATAGATTAGATTCTGGAATTTTAGTTCATAGATTCTGGAATTATAGTTCATCGATTCTGGAATTATAGTTCATCGATTCTGGAATTATAGTTCATCGATTTTGGAATTATAGTTCATATGTTGTTGCTGGGAATCGAACCTGATTTTTTTTTTTTAAGGGGAGACGCGCGTTTTTAATAAAACGACGTCGTTTTTGCATCCGTATGCACCATGCATGGTGCATACGGATGCACAGCATAATTTGCCGATTAGTCCGCCAAGAGCAGTGACCAAGCATGTTTGGGCCGATGTCGTTGGTCAGATTCACAGTAGGGTGATCCCGGCAATTTATATCATGCACCAGGGTGCGCATTGCACTATGCGCCCTGATGCAAAACGACGTCGTTTCAAGTTTTTTTTTTTTTTTTTTTTTTTTTTTTTTTGCCTTGTGTTGGCGGTTAATTTTCTTTTAAAAAAAAATCTCATGTTAAAAAATGTATATAATTTTATACTAGAATACACATAATTGTATACATTAATGTACATAATTGTATAACAAAATACACATACTCTTTTTTAAAAGATAATAAACATAATCTAGCATAATACATAATAAACAAACTTTTAACATAATACACATCAACTCTTAACATAATACATAAAAATTTTCTGATTCGGATGTACATAATTGTATAAAAAAAAATGTACATAATAGTATAAAAAATGTACATAATAAAAAATACACATAATTGTATAAACAAATACACATAATCACGTCAACTCCCTACCGCGCCTCCAAAACGGCTTCGTTTTGTGTACGCACGCCGTGGTGCAGGGTATAACGATTGGGTGATCCCTGTTCGGAATCAATTGTTATATTGTGCACCAGGGCTCACAATGCATTGTGGATCCTAAAAATTCTTTGTTTTGAATATAAATAATTGTAGAGTATAATATACATAAACTATTAACATAATACACACAATCTTTAACATAATACACATAAACTCTTAACATAATACACATGAACTCTTAACATCTACCATACTAATAAGAGCCCAAAAGAGTTAGGCCTATAATGGGTAGAAAAAATGGCGGTCAAATTTTTTAATCAAATGAACGGCTCAGATTGATAAGATTTTAATTTTCCCTTAAGATTTCCTAATTTATCCTTAATGAATATGATTATCTGTTAACTTTTCCGTTAATTTCTGTTAGCTCACCGTTAACTTACTCATTGATTTCAATAAAAAGATCTTAGCTTCAAACAACATCCCAATCAAAGTTGGCATAATTAGTACTCTATTTTACTTTTATTAAATTAAAATAATAATTTAGTATCTACAACAAAAAATAATACATATGCATTTCTTTAATTTAGAATTATATGTCTACAATGTCTTTATTAAAAAAAATTATTCATTATCAATAAAATTAAATAAGAGAAATAATTTCATTAGATATATTGTCTTTATTTTTCTCCAATATAACAATTCTTTACATTCAAATTCATCAATTGATTATATTCGTTACATTGTCCCTACAATGTCTTTATTAAAAAAAAGTATTCATTATCAATAAATTAATTAAGAGAAATAATTTTATTAGTTATATTGTCTTTATATTTCTCCAATTTAAAAATTTTTTACATTCAAATTCATCAATTGATTATATTCACTACATTGTCTATTATCTTTTTTTGTGCACTATTTTTTTAATTAAATATCAAAGTTGTATACAAATAATGCCATATATTTATTTACCAAGTATTTTAGTAATACCATGAAAAAAATAAAAAAAAATAAAATTAATAAAGCCAGTCATATTAACTACTTGAGAAATTTGTTGACAAAAACAGTATTCAAATCACACAAATAATTGAAGTGAGAACTACCTCGCAATGTCCTTGTTTGACAATCAGCAGTTAGTGGTTAGCGTTAGCGGATTTGACCAACGAATTATATCAACAGTGTTAAAAAGATATTCAAAAAAATTAGCTGTTTAGATTAACATGTAAATGACCTAAGGGGATACATAATAATAATAATAATAATAATAATAATAATAATAATAATAATAATTAATAATAATAATAATAATAATAATAATAATAATAATAATAATAATAATAATAATAATTAATAATAATAATAATAATAATAATAATAATAATAATAATAATAATAATAATAATAATAATAATAATAATAAATAATAATAATAATAATAATAATAATAATAATAATAATAATAATAATAATAATAATAATAATAATAATAATAATAATAATAATAATAATAATAATAATAATAATAATAATAATAATAATAATAATAATAATAATAATAATAATAATAATAATAATAATAATAATAATAATAATAATAATAATAATAATAATAATAATAATAATAATAATAATAATAATAATAATAATAATAATAATAATAATAATAATAATAATAATAATAATAATAATAATAATAATAATAATAATAATAATAATAATAATAATAATAATAATAATAATAATAATAATAATAATAATAATAATAATAATAATAATAATAATAATAATAATAATAATAATAATAATAATAATAATAATAATAATAATAATAATAATAATAATAATAATAATAATAATAATAATAATAATAATAATAATAATAATAATAATAATAATAATAATAATAATAATAATAATAATAATAATAATAATAATAATAATAATAATAATAATAATAATAATAATAATAATAATAATAATAATAATAATAATAATAATAATAATAATAATAATAATAATAATAATAATAATAATAATAATAATAATAATAATAATAATAATAATAATAATAATAATAATAATAATAATAATAATAATAATAATAATAATAATAATAATAATAATAATAATAATAATAATAATAATAATAATAATAATAATAATAATAATAATAATAATAATAATAATAATAATAATAATAATAATAATAATAATAATAATAATAATAATAATAATAATAATAATAATAATAATAATAATAATAATAATAATAATAATAATAATAATAATAATAATAATAATAATAATAATAATAATAATAATAATAATAATAATAATAATAATAATAATAATAATAATAATAATAATAATAATAATAATAATAATAATAATAATAATAATAATAATAATAATAATAATAATAATAATAATAATAATAATAATAATAATAATAATAATAATAATAATAATAATAATAATAATAATAATAATAATAATAATAATTGATAGTACTAATTCCACGTGTTAAGCAGTCAAGGTATTTAATACGATCAAGTCAAAGCAAATAAAATCTTTTATTGATCAAGAAGGACCTAATACAATCTAAGTGATTATCCCGAGGGCCGACTGACTGCAGTCGGGCAGCTCTGTAGATAATCTATCGATCGTTCAAAAGTCCCCCACACTGTAGCCGCCGTGGGTACTTATAGCCGCTAGGCCGGAGACACAGCTCCGGCCGGCCGGCATGTAACCCACGTAGCATCCACGCGTCACCATCCCGCGAGCCCTCTCTGTCAACGTGTAGCATTGCCACGTGCCTCTTTTCGAGATCCTTGACAAGGGTAACTAATCGGGTGACAAAGGCAGTCGGTCGGGAAGTCTACTGGTCGGGTCCGACCGTCTTCTTTAAGAATAGCCGACCTGTCAAACCTGCACAAAGAACAAGAAAAACCGAACTGTGTCGGTCGGGATATATCCTACCAAAAGCCCCCCAGCCCAGGCCTTTTTGACCACTCGGGGAAAAAACGGGACGGGATGAAAAGGTCTAATCACTCGGCCTGCGATCCTGACCAGACAGCTGTCGCTTGTCGTGCCACGTGTCAGCCTCTGCGCGCCTCGGAGTCTGTAACGGTCAAATCGCGCAAGTGGGTCATTTTCCCGCCCAAACTTTTCCTATAAATAGGTGCTTCTGAGGTTCATTTGAACTTTTACCAATCTGCGAGAGTCAATCGGAGCATCCCGAGCGAACAACCTGCGCATCGATCGAGCAAGCAGCTTCCAACTTTCTCAACAACATCACCCAATCGGTAAGTTCCTCTTGTCCCTCTTACTTCTCTTTAACTCTTCTCTTCACTTTTCTTGTAATGACCGACCTCCGTAACTTACTAACCCCGACCGAAATAAACGACCCCAAACGCTGAAACGACCGTCTCCTTTATGAAGGGGACATGTCAGACTCGACAGCCAAAACATCTCGGGAGCGGACTATGATGACGTGGTCGAACAACTTAGCGAGGAGACAATGATCGAGACATCCTCGCCTGAAATCGTCGAAGACATTCAACGACCGAGCAAGGTCCCCGAGCGCCAAAGCTCCTCTAGCTCGGAGAGCTCCTCGGGGTC